GTTTGTTCTCTTTCTTAAAATCTTCATTTTTTTTAATATTAAAAATCATTGCAGGGCGGTGGTAGTGATGACCAAGGCCGTGAGGTTGAGAGAGAAGAGAACTATTTACTTGGGGAGCAAGGTATGAGAAGGGTGGTGGTTTAGGCGTCGGTGTCGAACCAGCCGTTGCCGGTGTGCTGTTGCTGGGAATGCGAGGGCGCGGGCGGCGTCTGCTGGAGTTCCTTCAGCCACGAGTACTCGTTGCCGCCGCTCCCCGGTGGTTGTTGGTGGTGCAGTGGCGGCGGGTTGGCGTTGGACGTCGTCGACGTCAAAATGGCCAACGATGAGGAAGAAGACGTTAACGACACCGTGCCGCCAGAAGGAGTGGTCGGCACGCTGTAGGAGGGAAGAGAGGGCGAGGGCGGGATGAGTTGAAGGAGGAGCTCCTGCAGATCGATCCGATCGTCGACAGCGCCGGAGAACAGGGGCGAAGGCGCCGACGCCGCCGATGACGACGACGAAGAGTGCGGGTAGGGAGGCATCGAGTTGTGGTGCTGCTGCTGGTTCTGCGATTGGCGAGACTCGAACGACGGGACCTGCTGCTGCTGCTGTTGCTGATGCTGCTGCTGCTGTTGCTGTTGCTGTTGCTGATGCTGATGCTGATGCTGCTGGTGGTGGGCGAAGGAGGGGTAGTTATTCGCACTGGGCGGCGCGGGTAGCGACTGAGGCGGCGGTGGCGGTGGCGACACGAAGTTGGAGTTGTCGCTGCCCGTCCCTGGCGTGGCGCAAGACGAGGAGGCGGAGGCGGAGGGGGAGGAGCTGGCTGGCGACGACGTGAAGTGTCCAGACGACGTGTTGGTCTGCGGCCTGTTCGCGGTGGAAGGCGCGTGAGCCCACGCGACGGGAGGCGTCCAGTCGAGCGACAAGTCCTCGCCTCGGATGTTCAGCTCAGTGTAGGAGTCCACCACGGTCACGCACCACCGAATCTGCGCAATGGGCGTGAGACACAAAAGAACGAAAGCGATTGAGGTTTGGGGGGGGGCTTACATAGCCGAGTTCGTTGTAGAAGGCCTGATGTCGGCAGGTACATTGGAACACCCGACCATCTTTGCGTCGCATCATGACCTGGAGCGCAAACGGCTCGCTGATCGTTTGCGGGGCGCTCTGGAAGAGTTTGGAGAGCATCTCCTTCTTCGCTTGCTCGTCCACACACGTGACCTTGTTCACATTCCTCCCCAGCAACTCGTTCTGTAGGAGCAAGGAGTCAGCCAAAGGCAGAGAATAGAAACGTGTCGGCGCGTCTGAGCGGGTGGGCGGTAAGGTACCAAGGCGTATCCCGACAGCTCAGCAAACGAGTTATTTACAAAAATGAAGATCGGCGGCGATGAGTCCTCGCCAATGTACTGCGATATGACTCGCAGGGCGTAGAACGGTTTCCTGTTGTGGAGGCCACAGGGTGTAAGCGACGCCAGCAGCAACGTGTGTGAGGGGGGGAGGGGCTGGTACCGTGCGTCGTTGATGACAAACGTAGAGGGCGAGACCGAGTAGTCCAGGAGGAAGGGCATGCGGTTGAGAATCTCGGCCAACGCCGCTGCCGTCAAGGTGGGCTCCGCTGCGGTGGACGCCGACGACGACCCGGAAGACGCCGCCGTGGAGGAAGAGGAGGAGAGGCTGGAGGGCGAAGGGGAGGAGGAGGAGACGACTTGGAGCAGCTGCTGCTCGGTCTTGTCCTGCCGCTTCACCACCTTGTTGAGCTGCTTCCGCATCTCGCGGTTGTGCTGCTTCACCTCGCGCAGCTCCTCGAGCACCAGCGACAAAATTCCCTCCAGCACGTCCTCGCGCTTTCGCTCAGCTGTGTTCGTGTTGGCGCCGCCGCCGCCGGGGCGGAGTAGCGTGGACGACAGGGAGCCCAGCAGCGATTGATTCGAATCGAAGGAGGAGAGCGGCGACGACGAGGAAGAGGAATAGGGCGACGACGGTGGCGACGATGAAGAGGAGGAGGACATGTCGAGGGACATGGCCGCCGCTGATGTCGCAGACAAGGAGGACGAGGAGGAGGAGGAGGCGCCGTGAAGCGAATAGGAGAAGGAGGAGGAAGAGGAGGAGAAGGTCTCGTGCGGCACAGAGGTGGCGAGCGAAGACTCGGCGAGCCCGAAGAAGGAGGAGGAGATGTTGCTGATCCGCTCCGAGTGGGAGTGGTGTTGGAGGTTGGACGCCGCGGTCCGCGACACCGACACCATTGACGACGACGCGGCGGCAGCAGCAGCGGCGGTCGTGGCGGCGGACACCTGGAAGGGGTCGAACGGGTCGAAGGCGAGCGACGGCATGCGTATCTTGAACCCTGTTTTGTGTCAACAACAAGAGCAACGTGATGAGCTATCAACATCAACCGAACGGGAACCATGGTGCTGACAATGATGCCTGGCGCGCCTCAGAGGATACACGCACCCTCTGCGGGTTCGATTCGAGGTCGCTTGGCGGACGGCATTGTGGCGGCTGATTGCCATTCGTTCGTGGCCGGTCGCGTAGTCTTGCGCGTCGTGCCGACATCGGCGTCGTTGGACGAAGCGTCCTCGGCCTCATGAGGCATCAATGGTGCTCGTGCCGACGACGTGCTCTTCGTTCTGTGTCTGCCGCTGCTCTTTTCGTTGTTGTTGTTGTTCGAGTTTGACTTGCGCGGCCGCCCGCGCTTTCGCATCTCGACGTCGGCACAGAGGTGCGCCTTGCCGATGGCGATGCATCGTCGACATGGTCGTGTGCTGGGAACACGCACGCAGGCAAAAGAAGAGAAGAACGCACACGGCCCGCGCAGAAGTCAGCTCTCGTTCCAGGCAGCGGGTGTGATGATTGGGTGAGGGTGTTCACGGGAAGCCTCATGTGCTAGAAAATGAGCGACAACCGGAGATTGTACACAGCAACACCGTGTGATCATAGGTTTTGTGCGTGGTGGCTGACATGTTGCTTCGCTGGTGCTTGGTGTGCGGGGGGGGGGCAAACCTTTCGCACGCGGTGTGTGAGAGCCGGCAGAGGTTGCAGGCGCGACCTATCTGTTGCTTGCTGTTGTTGGCAGTGGCCTGCTCCATCGGGCGCGGGAGTGCGGGCAACAACAGAAGAACGGGGAAGTAAAGGGAATGGGAGGGGCGAGAGGGGTGAGTGGAGAGGAAGCCACGACCGGTGGGCGGGCAGAAGCCGGAGAGGAGAAGAAGAGAAAGAAAAGGGAGCCTAGAAGTGCAATGGAGGCCACAAAAAGGATGGAAAAGCTTGGTTGCCTTGCGCAACTGTGACTCTCCACGGTCTTTTCAAATTATAATTATTTATCTGTTATTTATAATTATTTGTTTTTCTCTAGTCGTTGTCGCGCAAAGAAGCTCGGGTCATGAGGCGTTCGTGAGGTACCTCCTGGTTCAACATGGCGGTGGCTCCTTCGCCGCCGCTTAGCGCCGTTTTTAGCGGGCAGGTGTCTGCACACACACTCTCCCCTCTTCGGGTGTGTGGTTCCTCTCCTCTCGAGAGAAGCCTTGTCTGACAGACCCCGCGGTGTCTTCAACGTGGCGTCTGGCTCCGGGTATTTTGAGCATAATTCAGAAAATTCGAGGAAGCAAAAGGGACCGGGAGAAAAGTCAGGCAAATAGCGAATTTTGGACCAATCGCAAAAAAAGAAAAAGTTGCTGGCCAATGGCAGAATAGTGCGCAGGATCCAATCATCTGGATAGTCAGCTATTTCGCCGAGAGCCTGGAGATGGCATTACCCCATTGGGGGTAAATCGGTCCATGGAAGTTGGGCCTTCTGGGACGGCTACCAGGGCTTGAGGGTGCCCAGTCGGGGCAGACCGCCCGCACCACCAGCACCGCCCCGCGCTCCCGGTGGTGCCGCGGCTGACGGGCGGTGCTGCTCGAGGCCGCCCGGCGAAGACGACGAAGAGAGCGCCTTCTTGCCAAAGTCCGGGAGCCAAGGCTGTTGTTGTTGTGCGTCGAGCGGTCCTCCTCGCTGGCCGCCAGAGCTCCCCGCGTAGACGAGGCCGCCGCCGACGCCGTCCTTGAGGAGCCACGCGAAGTCGCCGGTGCCCACGGGCGGCGAGGGGATCGGCGCCGCGAAGTTGGAGAGCAGCTCGCCCAGGTCGTACGATCGATCGCCCAGCTTGCGCTTGCCTGTCACCTGGGCGCCACCCGCCCTGACCGCCGCCGCGGGGTCCTTGCTGTGCGCGTCGCCGCCGTTGGTCGTCGTGGAGGTCGTGGCGACCGGGGCGCCGGGCTGCTGCTGGCTCGGAGCCAATCGGTTGTTGGGCGGCAGGGAGGCGCGCAGCGTGGCCAGCGGCAGAGGGCCGCTGCTCGCCATGTTGGAGTAGGCGGACCACCACTTGGGCAGCCCGGGCAGCCAGGTCATGGGCGCTTCGGCCGAGGCGGGCGCCTCTTCGATCCCCTCGATGACCGTCACCGTCCATCGTATCTTTGGGGAAGGGGAAGGGGGGGAGAGAGAGTCAGTACGTGCAAGTCATCGCCGAGAGGGAGCGGGTCGGGCGTACCACTCCGTTTTCGGAGAAGAAGAGTTGGATGCGTGAAGAGAGTCTGATCATCTTTCCATCCTTGGGTACGCATAGAGGCGAGAGAGGGACAATGTCGCTGATCAGGGAGCTGGTCCTGGAGTGTGCGTCGCGTTGACCGCAGAAATGCGTTAATTGTCGGGCCGAGCCATTGTATCAAAAATATATCATAATAGAATAGGCGCTTGGTGAGCAGTGCACCTGTTGTACAGGACGGGGAGGAACTGCTTCTTGATCTTCTCGTCGGGCACGATGATCTTCGACAGCGGACATCCGAGCAGCTCGTGCTGGAAACACCAACGACAATGAAGTGTCAGCTCAGCTGCATGGGCGAAAGGCGATAATTCAGGCCAGCTGCCACGTACTAAGGAGTAGTTGATGAGCTGGCAGAACGGCGGGTTGGCGGCGATGACCATGGGCGGGTTGCTCTCCTCGCCCACAGCCGAGTCCATCGTCCGCACGGCCAAAAACGGTTTGCTGAAGTCGTGGCACCGCAAAGGTCAGTGGCCGTGGACTATCGTGCGTGCGTGCGTGCGTGCGTGCGGTGTGTGTGTGTGTCGTACTTGAGGTCGGTCACAACAAAGGGAACGTCGCTCGATGCCAGGTTATAGGAGGAAAGGAAGGGGAAGCTGGAAAGGATCTCTACGCGGGAGGTGGCGAGCGAAGGCGGTAGAGGCGGAACGCCCGTGAAAGACGTTGTAGTCGTAGTCGATGATGACGAGGATAATGAGGATGAGGATGAGGATGAGGATGACGAAGAAGATAGAGACGGCGAAGAAGTGGAACCAGACGAAGAAGCAAAGGAGTTGGAGGGAGATGACGTGGCGCAGGGAGACCGAGGCGAGGAGAAGGAGGGCTGTTTGGGCGCCGGCTGGCTGTACGGCGTCGTGCCTGAGGAGAGGGCGGCTAATCGGTCCTCGAGCTCTCGTCGCTCCTTGTCCATGCGATGCTGTGTCTCCTGCAGCTGGCCGATGTCGTTCTTGAGCTTCTTCACCGTCCGTCGGAACTCGTCCTTCATGCTGGTGTTGGTCTGCTTCAGGTCCTTGACCTCCTCGACCAGGAACGAGAGCAGCGACTCGAGGTAGGGATTCGAGTTGGCCTTGCCCAGGTGGTCCGCCGCCGCCGCTGCCCCCTTGCCAAGCATCGGCGCCTCGACGTCCTTCAGGCCTCGCGAGAGCTTGCCGGCCTCGCCCATGGGCGTCGCGCCGGCGCTCGTGGCCAGCGGTAACCGCAGGGGCGGAGGGAAGTTGGGAAGGAACGGACGAGCGGTGGCTGCAGTTGCCAGCGGGGTCTGCCGAGGCTGAGCGCCGGTGCCGGATGGTGATGGCGACGAGGTGGTGGAGGAAGAAGAGGCGGCGGAGGCGGAAGAGGCGAATGTGCTGTTGAACGGCGGGAGGGGGAACTTGGGCATCGGCAGCGGCAGCGGGTGGTCGGAGGAGGAGAGCGGCGGCAGGGAGATGGCCACCTTGGCGAGCGGGGTGAAGGCGGAGGCGAGGTTGGGGAAGCGCGCCGGCGGGACGGACGTCTGCCGAAGTGGTCGAAGCGTCGGCTGCGCAGGCGACTGCGCGGTGTGTGCAGCTGGTGGTTGATGCGGCTGAGTAGCAGTAGCGGCAGGCTCCTGCTTTGTCGCTGTTGCTGCTGTTGATGATGATGATGATGTTGAAGTGGGACCAGCTGTCGTGCCTGATCCAGTTCCTGGCGCGCTGTCGGTGGGAGCCGCTCCTGACACCGACGCCGGCCCTGAAGAAGAAGAAAAAGAACAAGAAAGAGAGTGAGCGTAAGTGCCAAAGTTGGCAACGGGCACGAGCAGAGAACGAAGAACGAAGGGAGCGGGCGGCGAGTGAGTACCGTCCAGCCGAGCCTTCTTGATGCTGATGGTGGTTAGCCCGTTCTCGAGCGACTTTGACTTGCCGCCCTTGGGCCGACCGGGCCGCTTGCGCTCGATGTCCACGCAGTCCTCATCTTTGCCCAACGTCGTACAACGCCGGCAAGGGCGTTGTCTGTCGGTGATTGGGCGTTATACGAGGGTCCCCACCGAAATCGCATCACATCAGATTGTGGCGATTGTGATTATGGACCCAGTTCCGCAGCATGGCGCAATTGCGGCAAGATGATGAATCGAAATTGAAGAAGGTGATGATGGCAACGATTTCATACCCATCACAAGCTGTATGGGCGATCCGACACGGCCCACACGCGCCACGAGATTTGTTCATCGCGATGCTACGACGTGTATTGTGCGATTTGCCACGCAAACGGGTGCAAGCACTCTCGGCCACGACTGACAACAGTTGGGGTTGAGAGAGCACAACGCGTTGGCCTGCGGCGAGGAAACCGTCCGTGCCGCTTCTCCCGGATTGGCGGAGGGAAAAATCGAAACCGGGATTTTAGTCCGCTTTTCTCTTGCGCTGCCGGGAAAAAAGCAGACTGCTGCCTGAAATTGTTCCACCCGCCCGAAAACTGCTTTGCCTATTCTGCGCCCGCACCCAAGGCGACGAGCGGTGGTCACTGTTCGTGTGGCGGAGGACTGTTGAGAAAGCTTCTCCTTTGTCTCCCTCTTCTCGGCCTTCATCCGGGCGTTTTGGGCGAACCGACTGCGCCTCGCCTCGCCTGGGAAAGTTTCCGCCGCGGAGTACTCGGAGGATTGATATCTAATTGTTGTCGACCCCTGGGCGGAAGATTGCGCGGATGCGTTCGTACGATTCTCGCGCGATTACATCTGCAGCGTCCGCCAACCGCATTATTCCGCCCTTTCCCGCCGCTGACACAGAGAGATAGCCCCCAGACCACACTTTTTCACCATCTCCAGCTGAAAGAACAAAACACACCTTAGGTGCCCCCTGGCAAGAACAATCAGTGGAAGAAACCACATCTAGGCACGGATTGGGGAAGAAAAGAAGGCGCATCAGTCGGGAAGAAGAAAAGCAAGGAAGGATTGTTACGACAAAAGTGCGAGAAAACGACGTCGGTCATAATGCAAACAGAGCAGCCTCCAGCTGGAGATGGGCCGGCAGCATCGGCTGGAGGCCCTAATCGTCCCTACAAGCGACCCGCATGCAACTCCTGTCGGGTGGCGCACGTTGCTTGCGAGAAGTACCTTCCCTTCTTCATAATCTCTCACAATAGCAATTCGTATTTGGAGCGGCCTTAGATTAACGATTTTCCATCATCTGCCGACGTGAATTTATCTGGTAGTGCTAGGCCATGCCATCGATGCAATCTTCTGGGAAAGGGGGAGGTATGCCAAGATGCAAATGTGAAGAAGAGGGGGCGGCCCAGAAAGAGCGCTGCGCCAGGAACCCCCAAAGGCTCTAAAACGGACGAAGACCCCTCCCCTTGCTCCAAACGAGCCCGCACAGGTACTCCCCCCTTCAATTTCTCTCCTCCCGATAACTGCTTTTGATTTGTTTGATTTGTGGGAGCTTCGTCGTGTCTCGCACGTGAACGCTTTTTGGAAATTATATTGGTTTTCCTATCTCAACACTATTGGCCGGGAGAGGGTGAGGTTGATGATGTTTCTGACGCGTCAGTTGTTTCGTTTCTAGGCTCGGAACCGAAGCACGCGCTGCCTGCCGTACTGCCTCGGCCGACTGCGGCTGCCACAACCACGCCGGGCACCACCTCGCCGAACGATTCTGCGATCGGTCACCACTCGCCGCCACCGAGCGCTGCAGCTCCATCCGAGATCCCTCGTCTCCCTCCACCCTCTTCCCTTCTTCGACTCGGGCAGCAGCCCGACTTCCCCTCCACCCTCTCTTCGACCGCTCTTCCGCCGCTCCCTCCTCTTTCCGCCGCTCCCGCCGCTCCTTTCCTCTACCCCTCCTTCATCATCTCCCTCTTCCAGAACGCTGCCGGCATCACTCCACTCGGAACCTCAACCTCTCCACCACCGCAGCCGCAGCAGGTGCAGCAGGCCTTGGCCGCGGCTTCGCTTCCCCGAACGACCGCCGCTCCCGCAGCAGCAGCAGCGCCATTACCGACCACCACTCCGACTGCGTCACCGCCGCAATCCACCACGCCATCCACGACCCCGCCCACGTCCTCCTCAGCATCGGCATCAGCGGCGGCGGCTGCGCATCCCAACGGTGGGTTCACGGAGGCCAACCTGATGCACATCCTCGACTCGATCAAGGAGATCCGAGAAACGAACGAACAGCTGAGGAAGGAGATGACCGAGATCAAGAGCGAGAACGCCCTCCTGAAGCGGGAGAAGGAGGAGCTGCGCGCCAAGCTGCAGGAGCACTTGGCGCTCAAGCACTGACGCGCGTCGAACACGCTTCTGTTACACATAATGCACACACACCACATAATGCACACACACCCTTCCCGCCAAACTCCATGGCTTCCTTCTTCCACGAGCCTCGCGAGGTGGCTTCGTCAGCTTATTGGGCGTGGTCGGTGAAGAAGTTGAAGAGTACCACCAATTTGCCAGGCGGTGATCTGGGCAAGAAAGGAAAGGACCCGAAAAAGCCCGGCAGTTCTCGTCACGCAACCATCACCCACCATCATCCGGTTCAGCGTGGGCCTTATTCGGCGTGCTGTCTTGTTCTTGTGGTTGTTGGGAGATGTCGGGTGCGGCCACCGAGGTGGGCACCCACGCTGCGGGCGTGGAATCGATAATGTCGTTGGAGTTGGGTGGATTCTCGCCTCCTGCTCTCGCCTGCTTTGCCTGTCGCGAAGCCCACACCGCCTGCAGCAAGTACGCCACCACCACCTCATTTCAAGAAGCTGTTATTTCCTCATTCAAATCTGAGTCTCATGTTTGATGGTTGAAATGGAAGGGAAAGGCCGTGCAAGCGATGCGCATCGCTCGGGAAGGCCTGCTACGACCCCGAGAAGAAGAAGCGAGGGCGGCCAAAGAAGATTGAACAACAACTCAGGCAACAGCACCAACACCAACACCACCAGCATCAACAGCGAGAGCACCATGGTGCCCAACCTCTTCCACCCCACAAAAAGGCGCGAACCAGCGGCGGCACAGAGCTTCTGCCCCCGCTGTTGCCCACGCAGTCTGGCAGCGACGGGTTCCTCGTCGGCGTGGCCACGACCACCTCCACGTCGACGTCACCGACGCCGCTCCTCCCGCATTTCTTCGGCAACGGCAGTGGCTGGCAGTCGGCAGCTGCCGCAGGCCCAGACGTCGAGGCCCGGCCCAGGCACGCGACGACCGCTCCGCCCGCCGACGGGCGACACGCCGGCGATCATCAGGGCGTCGCTGAAGCGCCGGCCGACACCACGCGCACCGGCCGACACCACCGGCCGACCACAGCGAGGAGGGACACCGCCGCCGCCAACAGCAGCGGCGTCGGCGTCGGCGGTGGCAGGGTCGAGGGCCTGTCGGGGAGCCTGCTGTGCCTGCTGGTGGACCACATGAAGGACCTGAAGAGGGAGGTGCGCGAGACCAAGCGGCGCCAGGACGGCATCGAGGACCTGCTGCGCGACCTCTCGTCCAAGGTCGCCGCCATCCCGTCGCTGGTCGCCGCCGCCGTCGCGTCGCAGTCGGCTACCACCTCCTCCTCTTCTTCTTCATCGTCTTCTTCATCGCCACTCGAGGACTACGACGCGGCGCTGCTCTCCCCGTCGGTGCCGGTGCTGGACTGCACGGCTGCTGTGCGCCGCGCGCTACAGCTCAGCGATGGCACCGCCGGCGGCTACGCGGCGCCGTCGTTCACGCTGCTGCCGGGCCTGGCCGTGGTGCCCCCGCGACAGCAGATCGCCGCGCTCTTCCCCTTCCTCGACGAGTACAACCTGGGCACCTGCGACCGACCCTTCGTTTGCGACAACCCAGAGTGCGTGTGCGCGTGTGTTGTGTGTCGCGTGTGCGCGTGTGTGCGCATTGTTTGGCTAACGGTGGCTTTCCCCCCAGGAAGCCCGTCGTGGTGCTGCGCTGCATATCCCAGACCTCGCCGGGCGAAGAGGGCACCGCGCCTATCATCATCTACATCAACGACCCCTTCTGCTCGCTGATGGGCTTCACCAGGGTACCCACCCGCGCGCTCTATTATGGTCGGCGCCTGGTCGGTCTTGTCAGCCCCTGCCAACCTTGCGCACACGTGTACCACCCGCATACGCGCAGAACGAGCTGGTGGGTTCGCCCATCACCAAGCTGGCCATGCCGGATTTCGCCTTCAAAGACGAAGTAGCGAAGCGCTTCCTCTCACCGTACGCATCGCTTACCCCCCCCCTTCCCTCCCTCCCGTTGCGCGGTGTGTTGTGTGGCTACACCACAAGACTGGGGTGGTGGGTGGTGGTGATTTAACGACAACGCGCGCCTGCAGGCCCGGTACGCTGATCGGCGACGTGTTCTCGGTGTCGATGCTGGTCATGAAGCGGAACGGCATGCCGGCTCGCGCGCACAACCGCTTACAGTACTTCTACAACGGCATGCGCCGGGTATACGCCCTCTTCATCATCACCATCATCTTCTTCTTTGTCTTCTTCTTTCCACGCGCCTTTGTGGCCGCACTGCCTGACCTCACCACGCAACACCGATCGATGATGCAGCAACGGTGGCTTTTCTCGGTCACGGATGGCCTGGACGAGAGCAACGTCCCCTTCGCTCCCTCCAACCTCATGACGCCCGCCATTTCTTATCGCTCGGGTTCGCCTCCTCCCCTCTCGCTCTCGCTCTGGCGTGCGGTACGCCTCGTAAGTGCCCAATTCAGGCGCGCTCACTATGTGTGCTGCGCATGCACGCGTTTGTGCAGAGCTTCAATGGGAGCAGCAGGCGCAGGTGCTCGAACAGGAGTCCATGGCCGCCTTCCGCCACGGCCTCCCCGCTCGAAGCGCACCAACAGGACCGAACTTCTGCGGCCAACAGCAACCGACCACAGATGCCGACAGGTGGGGTGGCGACTTTGGAGGAAATGGCGCGTACGACGCGGCCCAGCACGGCGCCCCGTACTTTGCCTACGGCCCGACCGAGACACCGACCACCACTACGCCCTCGTCGGGCGACGGCCCATCGCCGGGCGCACAGGCGCAGCAGGAGCCGTTCGAAGAAGAAGAGGACAGCATCGGCGATCTGCTGGCCAGCATGGGCGGACCCTCGCCGTCGCCCTTAGGGTTCCCGGCCTCCCCCTACTCCACCTTCTCCTCCTTCTACTGACGCCCACGCCTAGCACCGCCACCTCTGTACATAGTCGTTGATAATATGAGGAGGATCTGTTTGAACTCGAAGAACGTTCACCATCAATCACGCAATGCGAGGAGCGTGGGGGGCGGGGGCGGTTTCAGGTGTTTTCGGGGTAGAGGCAGTGGCTCTTCCTGAAGCGCGCGTAGTCGACGTCCTTGCCCAGCCGCACCACCGACGGATCGGACGCGGTCGACTCGTGGGGTCCCACGGGCACCGGGAACGCCTTGCCGTAGATGTGCACGCTCAGCTTGCTGCTCTCGCACACGCATTGTCACCGCACACACATTAGACTTGGTGACCACCGCACACGCACACGCGCGTGTGTGTGTGATGTGTGGCACGGTACCTTCGCATGCGACCGCCAACGCGCAGCTTTTCGTCGAAGAAGGCGAGAAGCTTGGCGCGGGTGACGTCCTCCTTGAGGATGTTCATGGTGAGCTCGGCGCGGTCGAAGATGTACGCGTGGGTCGTGATCTCGTTCCAGAATCTCCGCGTCTCCTGGCCCAGGGTCTTGTCCTTCTCCTCCATCTTCGAGATGACCGCGTTCAAGTTGTTGGTCCAGTCCTCCTCCGGCATCGTTTCAATGAGAGTCTGTGACCACCCATCACACCGTAAGTGAGAATACTTGTGTATGTGCGGTGTGCGTGTGTGCGGTGTGCGTGTGTGTGTGGTGTGTGTGTATGTGTGTGTGTGTGTGTGTGGCGTGTGCGCACCCTCAGCTGGACCAGGAACTCCTCGATCCTGTCGTCCATGTAGGCCGGGTCCTTGACGGAGGACTGGATGATGACACGGAAGCCCATCACACCGTACACGTTCCTCACGCCGGACCACACGATGTAGCCTACACCCATGGTGATCGCCAACCACCAAAAGGCGTCAGTCACACAGTCAGTGAGCCAGCGCGATCAGTGGTGGGTGCGAGAAGGCACTCATACCGAGCTGCTGTTTCGTGCGCAGAGTGTCGAAGGCGGGCTCGCGGGCGATCTGGGAGAGCATCTCGAGATAGGTCGCGCGGTGCAGCTCCTCCAGTCCAATCTGGACGCAGCAAGAGATAAGACAAGACAAGACCAGAGCATCAGCGTCAGCGCGCGACCGATGCGGCTTTGGCGCCTCCCCCTCCCACCCAGCTGGTTGATGACGCACCTGGTAGTACTGGTAAATGGCAGAGTTGACATTTTCGGGGTTATACTCGGCCTTCTCGAGCACGTACGACTTGCCGTCCTCCAGGCGCACCACCCTGCGCTCGGGGATGCGCGAGGCCGAGAGCGGCAGCGCGCCGGTGGCCTTGGCCAGGCCCTCGGCCAGCTGGACGGCCTCCTCCTTTCGCACGTTGCCGGCGATGAGGAACTCCAGGTAGGCCTCCCGCATCACCAGACCGCAGAAGGCCTGCATGTCGTCCCTGGTGACCTCTGTAGCGGTCGCGACACCAATGTTGTCAGGCCCGCCCAGGGGGAGGGGTGGTGGTGGTGGATGGTGGGGCAACACATACGCTCGAGGGCCCGGATCTTTTCGGGGAAGTCCCAGTTTTGGGCCAGCAGAAGCATCTCCAGCTCGTGCCTCGAGTGATCCCACGGCTGATTCATGATGTAGTTGCGGTACTCACGCCCCAGCTGCCGATGCCCCAGGAATGTGTGTATGATGAGTATGTGTGAGTCGTGTGGCGATGATCGGGGAGTGAACCACCACCATCTGGTGGAGGCGTGATGGCTGCCTACCTTCTCCTTGAAGATATCGAAGCGGTCCTGCCTGATCTCCAGGGTGCGCATCTTGTCGACGATCTTTTCCGCGAGGAGCGGCAGCTTCTGGTTGTAGCCGTTCACACGCAGCTGCACCATACCTCGCGATTCAGGAGTTTGTTTGCTTGGGGGGGAAGGGAGTCTACGGCGAGAAGAGTGCGCACAGCGTACCGTGAGTCCCCTGGTCGTGGAGGCCAGCGCAAACTTGAGCCCAGCGATTTGCGCCAGATACGAGTACTCATTGAGCGCGTCCTGGTGCGGATCGATCATCGTGTGGGCGTGATCATATGTCAGGCCTCGCACACGCTTTGAGAACGAAACACGCGAGGTGGGAGCCGCAATAAGGGGGTAAGTACCTCGAGAAGCTCGACAAAGAGGTAGCTCATGACCGAATGCGCCGGCGAATCGTAGGCCACGGGCGAAACCACCGCCAGCCTGCAAGCGAAATAAGAAATTTAATTAAATGAAAGCAACAGATAAAAATAAAACCAGAAACAACTTACCTGCACTCCATCTTGGGCACGTTGAAGCGGTCGTCCTGCTTGAACCACAGCTCCATCATGTCATTGCCGATCAGCTTGACCGGGACCGTGGGCGCCTGCCCGAAGAACGTTGATATTTTCATAGAAGGTCAGCATGTGGATCGCGGCAAAGAGGCCCAATGGGTGAGGCTGACGAACCTCGGCCTCTCGCGGCTTCAAGTCAAAGTCGGTTGGGACGAACTCGTTCACGGGCGGGAGATGCAAGTCGGGGCAGGGCTGCACCTGGGTCCACTGCAAAGGCCACACGAGGAGAGGGGCGAGAGGTTAGCGCCGCACGAGACCCAGCGCCAATTTAGCGAAGCTGAGACGAGACGCACCTTGGAGAGGAGCTCGGGCGCGAGGGGCTCCCTGGAGAATTCGGTTCCGTACCACTCCTCCTTCTCGTTCGCCACGCCAGCGAAATCCTTGGAGACCAGGTGGATTCTGTTGGGCCATTAAAACATTCCAGGATGTGTGCGATGAGTGCACTTGGTTCCAGCGGCGGCGCAGGCGCAGGCGCACGCACACGCACACGCACACGCACAGAGACACGTACCGCATGTTCGACGGGTTGAGGAGGTTCAACAAGCTGCTAATGAGCTCGGGATCATATTGCTCCAGGAGGTAAGGGCCGGCAATGGCGTGATGGGGCGGGTAGAGCTGCATCTGCTCGCCCAGCCTGCTCACATAGGTAAACGGTTCCTGTGTGGAACAAGCAGAAAAGAAAAGCAAAGAAAAGGAAAAATGTCAACCGCTGATCGTGTGGTGCGTAACGGTGGCGTGCGGGGAGGCGAGGAGAGCGTACGTCCTTCTCCTTGAAACGGAAGTCCGTCGCGTCGACCTGCTGAATCTCTCTGAAGATCCACTCCTGCATCTTGGCGTCCTTGAGCATTTGGATGTACTCGAACAGGAGCTGCACCACCTCCTCGTAGCGACCTACAAGCGGAAATAAATAATGAATGAATGAGTGTGAGAAGGGCGAAATGGTGTGAGGTTAACAGAGAAGCGGTGGAGGACCCACCTGCGGCCTGGTCCGTGAGCTTGATGGAGATCTTGAAGAGCTCAAAATCGGCGGCGCTGCGGGAGGAGCCGGCGGAAAGCTCGTTGGCGAGACCCCTCTTCTTGAGGAGGGAGAGCAGGGATCCCTGCGACTCGTGCCCGATGAGGTGGGAGAGGTAGTGCGTGGGCTTCTTGAGATAGTGCTCGTCAGTCGCGGGAAACGGGAATATGATGCCCAAGTTGCGCAGGTCCTTGACCGGCACGATCTTGAACAGTTGGCCCTGATTGAATGCAATGTGCCGATGACACACAATGTCAGCCTGGTTCATGCGCGCGACGTGGTGCGGCAAGTTGGTGACTTCCAGGAAAGCGTACCAGCTCCTGCTGACGGAAAGGAATAACTTCCCGGTTGGTGAGATCATAGGCCCTGCCGGTATCCTTGACCTGGGTAAAACGGGACACCACCCACTGTTCCAGCACGTCCAGAGGCTCTGATACGCACAGGGCAACACCACACACACACACACAACGATCAGCCAGCGGTTGGAGCGTGGCAACTGAGTGGTATGCAACGCTCGGGAGGGGAGCCTGCCTCTGCCGAGGACCACGAGCTTCATCACGTTGGATGAGTAGTACTTGCTGTGGAACTCGAGAAGCGCTTTCCTGCATGTGTGCGTGCGTGAGGGTGTTAGAAGTGAAGCGTGGGTCGTGGGGGCGAGAAGAAGGCGGCCAGCGCAGATGCACCACGTGCCTGATGTCCAAGTTGTTCGCCTTGGGCCTCTCGAACAGCGTGGCAAGGTTACCGGTGCCAAACTTGTGGAACGGGTGTGCCGGGTTGGCTGCCAAGAACGAGCACTCCTTGCATTAGTGATGACCTCATTATGACCCGGGTTGGCGCGCCGGTCTGGAGTGGCACAATACCTGTTGACTTGAGCAGCTGGTACAGACGCCATTCATCCGATTGCAGGTTCTTGGCGTTCTCTGTTTGAAGGAGAAGAAGAGGAAGAGGAAGACAAAACACGGCAAGGTGAACACGGTGAAGTGCACGCATAGCCGCGTGAGTTGCGGCATTCCGTACCAGATTCAACTGCGTTGAGCTCTCTCTCCGTGGCGCTCTCTGTGAACAAAGGAGCAATGAAGAACTGCGCAAACCTAGAGGAGGACGCCGTGTCACAAGGTTAGCTGTTCGTGTCTTGGAGGAGCAGTGTGGTGGAGGTCTTACATGTCGAGTGCCTCCTCCAGATAGGGGTGAGCCACGTCGAAGAAATAATTGGTGGTCTGTCGCATTACAACAGTTCAAGAGAGAGCTGGTCAGTCAAAGAACGTTCAGGATCTGGGATATGACTGTGGATACCTCGGTCGACGTGTAGGCGTTGGACGAGCCGCCGTGAGACGAAAGAAAACTCGAATAGGCGTTCTCATCGGGGTGCTTGGCCGTGCCCAAGAACAGCATGTGCTCTGGTGGAGTGGCCAACCATCAGCCTCAGCCACAGAGCAGTAGGTGGCAGATGCAGCTCACTCTGTAGAGTGCACGCAGTGCGGTGGAGTGAAGGGCGGACACCGTACCACAAAAGTGGGCAAGACCGGGGAACTCCTCGGGGTCTTGGAAATGGCCCACCAGCACGTCCATTCCCGCTGCCGCCTAGAGCACAACCTCGTTGTGAGCGTGTGCGTGTGGACACCACACAGTGAACAGTGTTAAAGAGTGAGCCTTACCTTATCCGTGGTCGGATCAGACACGAGCAGCACCTGGCGAGCACGAAACGAGCACGGGAGTGATGATGGTGGTTAGAGCACACTCCGTGCGCGCTGTATCACCATAACACAGGGCATATTTCGGGCACATAGATGTGGTGGAGGTCTTGCAAGACACTCACCACCGCGCGCGTTGGGTTGTCGGGGAGGGGAGCGGACCTGGAGCTTATTGGGCAGGATGATACCGCGGTAGTGCCTGTCGTCGCTTTCCGACTTGATGGGCGTGTAGTACTCCATCTTCAGAGCTGGATTAATAATTGGCACGAATTGAAAAGGGCAGGCGGGCTGCTGAGCACAATGGAATGAAGCACAACAAGCCGCTTGCAGTTGATGGATGGAGTGAGGTTCAGCGAGTAGTGGGAATTGATGGGATGAAGTGATGGAGATTAAGAAAAGGAGAAGGAGGAGGGTCAAGGTGAGGGTGCGGCAACCAATGGTTGACCGGAGAAGGGAGAAGCAAGTTGATGCACGTCCTACACAAACTGTAGCACGAGGGTAAAGAATCTTTTCCTTCGTTGCTCTTTGTAGCCCTCCTGCAACGTGCAACATTTGTGCGCATTTTTCTTGTTCGCCAAACTGCGCCCTCAGGAGGTCTGGGCAAGCACACAACACAAATTTCAGTGCATACAGCATGGTACACCATCCTGAATGTGGCTCTCCCCAGTTTCTCTTTCTAAGAACAAAAGGGATTATGTGATGTAGGTTGGGCTGAAGGTGAAGGAGGTCACAGCAGGTGTATTTGGAGGAGACCAAATTGCCATGTCATGTTCTCTGTTATGCATCCATTGGTTTTATGAAGTGTCATTGCCTGAGTAGTGCACAATGCTGGGGACAATGCCAGTTGCACACAGTTTGCACTCATCATCTGTGGGGCCAAGTGCCACACAGCTCCTGGAAGAGTGGTGCAAATTTCGCTCTTCTCGCACCTGCCCAAGAATTCGACACTCTTTACCGCCCCTTGGCCGCCCCAGAATCGAATTCCTTTCTTCGTTGCCATGGTAATTATGTCCTCGCAACTGCTGACCATGGCAACATAACCAACAACCACAACCTTCTTTTCCTCCAGCAAGAAGATAACGACGCCAGCACAACACGGGCACCAGCATAGGCGCTCGATCGGCAAGTGCCTCCACGAACCCAACAAACAAAGAGAAAACAACATGACGACGTGGCTGGAGCTGTCCTCCAACCCCAAGTTCACGATAGAGAACATCCGAACGGTGTCAGAGGGCGACCACGTATTCGAGGAGGAGCTGAAGGAGGTGTGGACCACCGAGGTGAGCGAAGATCTGCGAGTACTCGAGGAACGATTGAAGGAGGGCAATGACCACCCCAGCATCATGCTGCTCGTGGCCAAGGTCTCGGACTCGGGCTGCGTGATGGGAGCTGAGGGCGTGCGACTAGTGGGCAACGAGATGCTCAGGCTCGCGGCCGAACATCGCTACAACGATATCTTCCCCCTCCTCACCACCGCGCGACGAGAGTTCGAAGAGTTCAACCTCCTGTGGGGCCTCTACCGCCGAACGTGGACGTGAGCGGACGAAAGCGAACCTTCTCGATGTGAGATCTCTGTCCCTACATCGCCTGTGCGGACAGAGAGCTGTCCGCGCTACCACGAGCCTCCTATCTACCCCTTGCAAACACAATCGATTGACAATTAAGAGCTAATTTCATCAATCCAAACGTTGGCCGCCACACGCGTTGTGTTTCCGTTGAGGGAGGCACGGAAAGTATTTGTTTGGCTTTTTTCTTTTCTTTTCGGGACAGACGGAGGAAGGGGAAGAGAGCTTTCTGACGGGGAAGTGCGAGAGACCCACCAGCAGATTGGTCGAGCAAGAGGAACAACAGGAACGCAAGAGAAGAGAACGGACGATTGAAGGGGACACATGGCTACGCGCAGAAAGGGCGGTGCGAAAGGAGAACAACAGCCACCGGCTGCAGCCACCACTTTGAAGCCAGCCGCGGCGCCTTCATCAAGAGGATCTCTCCTCACATTATTGATCAAATTGATCCGCTTCGCGGGGGTTTGGTCATGGATCATCGTGTATTATCCCATCCTGGCCTTTGGGTACTCTTCTCCTCCAAATTGATCTCAGCGATGAAGCATGCTCAATTCCTTATTCACTCTTAATCATTCCGCGCATTTCGCCCGACAATCGCTTTGTTGCGGTAGCGTGCGTGTGTTGCTACGATTATATACTGCTCTCGCCCTCACCCCAGCATGCCTGATGAGATGCTCATGGTGTACGCTCATGGAATCAGGTGGTGGAAGGCTATGAGAATCTCGTTGCCCTCCAGCGCCGATCATGCATCGTTATGCCCAACCACTCTTCTGCCCTTGGTGCGTGACACCTTCCTTCGGCATGCCATTTGGTCTGCGGCGTAATGCGAAGCTTCAGCTTGAACGCCACCTTTCTCCTGTTCACCGCTCTCCATCACTACAGACCCGTTCATTCTGAATGGCCACGGTCTGATTGCGCCCAAGTACATTTTCAAGCGATCGCTCATCCTCCAGTTTCCGCCAATCTTCCTCTTGGCCTGGGCATACGGTCACATCCCGATCAACAGGTTATTGTCCTTGCTCAAGCCATCACCATTCTGCCCCTCCTCTGATGTGCTGAGGTTTCTGACACTTGACAACGGTTGCAGGTCGAACCGGGAATCGGCCATCAAGAGCCTGCACGGCGCCGCCAAGCGGATCCAGAAGTACAACCGAGCCATCGGCATCTTTCCCGAAGGAACGCGCTCCAAGGACGGCCAGTTGCTGCCCTTCAAGCGCGGCGGCTTCCACCTGGCGCGTGAAACCCGTACGGCCCTCTGTTGACTCGAGCTTTGTGTTTTTCTCTTCTCATCCAGAGGCATTTGGACCAGGCGTTCCTATTGGCCCAGTATCCATTGAGGGGGCGCATGAGCTGTACAGCCCCGCATCCTACTCTTTCCACCCCGATGCTGGAACTGTGAGGTACGGACCGCCCGCCCTCGCAGCCACGAATTCAGTGTGACCCACTTGCACCCTCTGTGCGCAGGCTCCGCATGCTGCCCGCTATCGAGTGCACGGAGAGCGACACTGTTGACACGTTGGAGAAGAAGGTGCCTCTCCTGCTTATCAAAGAAGTAAAGCCAAAAGGGCGGACTGACTTACTGATTGCTCGTGCTTGCTCGCAGGTGCGCGACGCCCTGGAGAAGGCGCAGAAGGAGCGCAAGCCGCTGCCACACACCACGTCAGGCTTGCCTTCGTTCTTCGCCTGCCTGGCCCTCATCGCGGTGGCCGTGTTCGAGCTCCGCTTCCTCTACGGCCTCTTCTTCTGATTCCACCCCACGACCAGTTCCTGGCCTGATGCCTGCCACCAAGCGCTGTCCTCCTCCCTTCCTCGATCATCTACTGCGTGGTGGAGGGATTTAATAGTAGCAACAGCATTAAAGCTGTGTTGATAGTCATAGTGATGCAACAACACATGTTCATTTCGTGATAGTGAACATGTTGCGGGCGGGAATCGAAAAGGGTCCCCAGCGCCGGACCACTCGTGGTGCCCACCGGTTTTCTGGGCCGTGTGGCGCGGTGGTGGTCGCACGGGTTCGACCGGTACCGCAACTGAGACAGAAAGCACGCTGGGCGCGTGAGGGAAAGGTTCCTCCCTTCCTCTTTCCTCGTTCTCCTTCGCAGACACAACAGTACCCCGGCCAGCAGCGACAGGCCGGCCTCCATCTCGACGAGAGAGCGGGCACCATAGGCCGACATAGGTATGAACCCGAGCTCGTATGAGAAAGATTGGTAGAGATTTATTCCATATTCGACCTCGAGTCGTCTCTCTTCCACGTACATTAAGTTATTGTGCAATTGATTTTGGAAGGCTGCCTGCTTCATCTCTAACGCGAAGATTGACCAGAATTGATTTGATTAAATAATCAAATTACTGCACAATGAGCTCTAGCGATTGGCGCTCAAATGAGGGCAGCATCAACGTTGTCGACGATGCCGACCTCGTCCGCGGTGCGCCATCCTCCAGCTTTATTGTTTTTTATTATTTATTTATTTTTAGTTGTTACGTATTGATGCCGCGGCGCGTTGTTTCGTGGTGCAGTCGGGCAGAAGCCCTCGCTTGGCGCGTGGGGCACCATCAAGTACACCACCTGGCTCTTCTTTCTCTGCTTCTCGCTCGCCGGCGTCCAGTTCGTATGTACGTTCGTAGACCGCCAGAGAGACAGGGCAAGTCTTTGCCTAACCCCTCAAACAAAACAGACTCGATCCAGTTTGCCATCGGTACGCCGCTGTTCCGGCAGAAGCTGAAGGTGAGCGATGCCAACATCGCCATCATCCTGTCCACCGCCGGACCCATCTCCGGCTTCCTCGTGCAGCCGGTCATCGGCGTGCTCTCCGATGCCTGTCAGTTCAGGTTTGGCCGGCGTCGGCCATTCATCCTCGGCGGCGCTCTTCTCTGCGGTACCGCCTCTCACTCTCTCCCATGGCCCCGGGCCATCTCTCTCACTGATCTCGCTGACTAACTTACGCGGCCGGATGTGCAGCGGCGGGTATGGCGATCATCGGCTTTTCGGCTTTCATTGGTGACGCCATCGGCGATTCGACCGGCGACGATGTGGGCCACCACTGGCGCGCCCTCATCTTTGCCGTACGACCTCAACTTTCGTTTAGCCAATGATTACAATTGGCGTAAAATGCCCGCCCAGCAAGACACACCTGTAACGAACCCTCGTTGCCACTCTTCCAGATCGCCGGCCTGTGGATCATGAACGTGGCTGTCAACATCATGCAGGGACCCGCCCGTGCCCTCGTGGCCGATGTGGTCGACGCCGAGTACCAGCAGCTCGGTAATGCCATGGTCTCGTGCACCATGGGTACGCAGCGCCATCACCCCTTTTGTTCGCCCGATGATAGCACTCGACATTCCCCCGCTGACCCGGTGATAATGAACGTCGGTGGCGATGCTGGCGCTGCACAGGTCTGGCCGCCGTCATCGGTAACGTCGTGGGCGCTCAGTTCCTGGGCACCTCCGAGCCCTACGTCTACCTCTTCAGGTGCGCACCACCCCGGGGCTCACTGCATTTTGGCTCGTCCAGCTCATCTCTTTCCGTTACACCACCCGGTAGCATGGGCATCGGCCTGGTGCTGGCGAGCACCATTCCTACGCTCATCGTCGCTGGCGAGACGCCGTTCGTGAGGCCCGAGGGCATGAAGGTCAACATCTTCTCGGTGTTCGTCAAGATCTACCAGGGATTCAGGCACATGCCGTTCAACATGATGCGCGTCTGCCTCGTCTTCTTCTTCTCCTGGTACATTCATCACCACCCAATTACACTCCTTCTTCTTTCGCACGATGATGCGTGTGAGCTGACCCAGTGCACGTTGGCGTGAAACAGGTGCGGTTACTCGCCCTTCATGATCTACATCACTACCTTCTTCGGCAAGAACGTCAACGGTGGCAACCCCGACGCCGATCCGCCCACCGTCTACCAGGTATCCACACACACACACACACCGTGCACTGCACACCTTGCCAGGTCAGGCCAAATCAGTGCGGTGCTCACCTCGTTCACCTCCGCCCACAGGACGGCGTCAAGTATGGCATGTACGCCCAGGCCGGCTTGGCCGCCGTGTCTCTCGTCTACTCCTTCGTCCTGCCCTACCTCGTTAAGTTCTTGGGCGTCAGGTACGGGCACATCATTCGGTGTCGTGTGCTGTCTTTATTCCCGCGCATGTCCTTACGCACGTGAATGTGCTCAGGCCGACCTGGTTCGTGACGCAGGCGATGCAGACCGCTTGCTTCATCCTCTTCCTGTGGTTCGACCAGCTGTGGGGTTCGTTTTTCTTCTGCCTGGCTTGCGTGACGTAAAGGAGAGTAACACTTCAATTCAACGGGAATGTACAGTCGCCGTTCTGCTGACGTGCGTTGTGGGCCTCAACTTCACGACCTTCAACTCGGTGCCGTTCGCTCTCGTCACCAACATGGTGGCCACCGCCGATGCGGGCATGTATATGGGTACAACTGTCGTCCCCCTTCGACTATTTGTTCTCGCCTTGATTCTCACACGCATGGCAACGGGCGCACACAGGCGTGCTGAACTCTGCCGGAGTCGTTGCCCAGACTGTGACCAACAGCTTGGCCAGCCCCATCCTCTCGTGGAAGGACCAAAACGTGGCCTGGGCGATCGCCTTCGGCGGCATCCTCGCCGGCATTGGTAGGCCCTCCTTCGCTCATGTGTCTGCGCTGCTGCCCGTTCTACGTCTTGTGTCGCGACAGCTGATGGTCTCCTTCCCAATGCAGCGTCGGTGCTGGTCTGGATCGTGCCGAGCGTGCCGGACAAGAAGCAGGAGGACGCAGACGATGCTCCCACGCAACCGCTCCTCAGGGATGTCTGAGCATCTCCTTGAAATATGTTTCGTTTTGTTTACCAACTCAGCAAAAACAAAAAAACAGTTTCCTTTATATTTTCTTCAAGCACATGGAAAAAGAGCTTAGAACTTGGCGTGTTGTCGCCTCTCTTTCCACGAGTTCTCCGCTACGCCCATTGCTGACCAATCAGATAGGCACCTTTCGTTGGGCAAGGTCGGCCTCCACCGCCAAGCTCAGTCTAAACACGCTCACGTACGCACCACAACATAGAGGAGAAATGAAGTACTTGGTGGCGCTTGACGGTTCGAAGGACGCAGAGATGGCGTTCGATGTGGTGCTGAGCAAGGCCACGCAGGAGGACCACGTCTTCCTGCTCATGGTGGCGGAGGAGGTCTACATCTCCACCGTCGCGGGGGCCTCGGCATACATCGACTACTCCTACATCGTTCGAGCCAATCAGAAGATTGAAGAGGAAGGCAAAGCCCTCCTCAAGTCCTACGGACGCCGCCTGACGGAGCGAAAGGTACTTGCCCCCCCCCCTTTTGCACAAGCAATCTTGCTTCTCGCGCCTTGCGATGGCTTACCAGAGGCGGGTGCATGGTGAAGGTGGCACACACGCTGCTGCTGGGCAAGGGCGACCCCAAGGACGTGGTGTGTCGTGAGGCTGAGGAGCGCGAGGTGGACATCATCGTCATTGGCAGGCGCGGTCTGGGCAAGTTCAAGAGGTGCGCCCCTTGCCCCAAAGCAAGCGGCGGCGTGGCGTTTGTGCGCGTGTGAAAGCAAGAAGGCAGAAACTGACCTTGTCGCACTGTCGTTTGTGCAGGCTGTTCATGGGCTCGGTTAGCCAGTACTGCACCGAGAACGCCAAGTGTGCGGTGTGGGTCATCAAGAGCCCACACGTCGCTGAGGTGGAAGCCGCACTGGGCCGTGGCCCTCAGGCTGCTCCATCCGCCGCCGAAGTCTTGTAGTAAATGCTCTTCTTGTCCACCTTCTTCTCCACTGAAACCACTGCAAATAAACAAAATGAACAACATTCTCAACATCACACTCTTGTGCGTCTTGTCATCACGATCATCGTCTTGTTGCAGAGAGGGGTCGCGGAGAGCCCCGCGCCCAAAGGCCGAAGAGCCACCGAAGCAGGAAGGAGCGCTGGCGGAGGCTTACGCGTGATGGGCAGTTCGTGCCCTTCGGATTCCCTTGAAAAGCCAGGGCATGTTGACCCCGCCCTCTCAACCGTGTGGCGTCCTCCTCGCGTGCCGTGGCGACGAGCATAAACAGGGGAGAAGGAGCACCGCCATTGAAGAGACAGACACAACACAGTCACGCTCACCGTCAAGGCCACGACACCACAAGACAAGCTGTTCTCAAGCTTGACCAAACACTGTTTGCAGCGGCCTCTCAAGAGTGAACACCCAACCAACGCACACGAACACACCAACCATGAGAGCTGGTACGCCTTCAGTCTCCTCTCTCTCTCTCTCTTCGCCCCCGACCTTTCTTCGTGTTCCGCCCCCACGTTGGTTGCTTCGCTTTTTGTCTGGCCCGTTTATGGGACGCAGTCCAGCTGAAAGAAGCTGCATCCTCATGGCAAGGAAAGCCGCTCCTGCTCTTTGCAGCCTCTTGAGCGCTAGCAGCTGCTCCACGCCAACAGATCTTTTGCTGATACGGACGAATTTTGGCCACGGATTTAATTTAATCTTTTTTGGGTCCGCGATTGTCACTCTGACGCAACGGCCGTCACCGCGCCTCTACATCTACGCACACAGGATCAGGAAACACTGCCGTGCCTGCTGGACGTTCGATGCGTAGCAGCAAGCTCACCAAGTCCAGCAGCGACTATGCGCTCAGCTCCCTGCAGTCGCGCACGCTGCAGCCAGTCGAGGAGGCCTCCCCGCTAAGCATCTGGCCCGGCGGCTGGATCCTCTACGAGATCTCCACCCGCCCGTGGCTCTACACCCTCACCAAGAAGTACAAGCGCCCCATCACCAAGCTCAACGATATCCCCGACGAGGAGTTCCTCGCCCTCAAGGACAGGGGTACGCCCCCCCCCCTCTTTCTACACGCACCATGTCGTGAGTGCGCACTTCTTACTTTCGTTTCACCCCGTTTGTGACGTTGAACCGCGTTCGCTGTATGCGCACAGGAGTGGACATGGTGTGGATGATGGGCGTGTTCCAGCTGGGCGCGTACGGCCTCAAGTACGACCGTACCAACGTCAACCAGGTCAACGGCTATCGCCAGCTTCTCCCCGACTACACCGAGCAGGGTACGCCGCCGCAACCATGTCAGCAGCAGGCAATTTAAAGCGAAGCGTGCATCAGGCCAGTGTGCCCACACTGCCTCACATCCTGCCCCCCCCCTCAAAAGACGTCATCGGCAGCCCCTACGCCATTGTCGACTACCACTGCAACTCGCAGCTCGGCACCGACGAAGACCTGCGCAACTTCCACAAGCGTCTCAACTCGCTGGGCCTCTACCTCATGCTCGACTTTGTGCCCAACGTACCACTCTTTCCTGACGCTCCGCTTCGGCGTGCCAATTGCGTCGGTGGTCACACTCACATCCCAATCTACTGCGCGCAGCACACCGCCGTTGACTGCGAGTGGGCCAAGACCGACCCCAACTTCTACGTGCGTTCCCCCAAGGACTCGCAAAAGCCCTACTCCGACGCCTACCACCCGGAGTCCGGCATCGCGTACGGCAGCTGCGGTTGGGGCGCTTGGCAGGATACCCTCCAGCTGAACCACTGGAAGTACGTGATGTGTTGCTGGCTCGGCGCACCTCTTGGCTGTTTGCTGAACGTACACTAACGTGCCGTGCCTTCTTCTCTCTGCAATGTCCCTTCAGTCCCGAGCTCGCTAGACTTAGGACCCAGGAGCTCTGCCAGTACGTCCTCGTTCGTCATACTCTTTTCTCTTTTCCCTTTGGGTCGCGACTGACCACTTTCTCTTCAGTGTGGCGTCCATGTGCGATGGCATCCGCTGCGACATGGCCTACCTTGCCCTGAACGACCTCATTGAACAGGTGCGCTCCCTCCCGCGCGTTCTTTCGCCATGGCACTCGCGCGGCCCCGCTCACCTTGGTGCGTTCCATTACAGAACTGGGGCCACCAGCTCTACACGTGGGGTTGGAAGAAGCCCGCCACCGAGTGGTGGGAGGGCGCCATTAAGGCCGTCAAGCAGAGGTTCCCCAACGTCGTCCTCCTCGCCGAAGTCTACTCGCCGTGGCAGGTTCGCACCACACTACGCGCAGCCTGCTGTGTGGAAGTGCTTACCCCCTAGTGCGGTCTGGCGGACCTTCATTCTCTGTAGCCGAGACTGCAGGAGCTTGGCTTCGACTACACCTACGACAAGCAGCTCTACGACCGTCTGTCGTGGGGTCACCTCGACTACACCAAGGACTGGTTCATCCACAACTCGCCCTCGTTCACCAAGCGCTCGGCCCACTGTACGTCGCCGCCGAGCTCTTCTCTTCAGTGTCGTCATCCGCTCTCGACCTTACTTCTTTCTTCGCCCCTATCCAACAGTTGTGTCAAACCACGACGAACCCAGAGAGGCGATCCACTTCGGCAGTTGGTGGCGCGCCGCTGCGGCCGCACTCCTCAGCTTCACGCTCCCCGTACGTCGTAGCCCCTTTGCACCTTTCATTGAACACTCTACTTACTCCCCGCGCAACCACTAGGGCGTGCGTTTCTTCTGGCAAGGCCAGTGGGAGGGTCACCAGAACAAGCTCGCCGTCCACTTGAGGTACGTGTCGTGCGCGTCCCCCTGGACAAAGCGACCGTTGGAGCTCACCGGTGCCTATGGTGAGCAGGAGGGCGAGGGAGGAGCAGCCCCACAGCGAGGTGGTTGCCTTCTACGATAAGCTGCTGCCCATCATCAGCCACGAGATCTTCAAGAAGGGAGAGTGGGTCTATCTGGACGTCTGGGGCACCGGTACGGCCACTCGTCTCGAGGTCACCCCAGCACGCTCCCCCGCCTCGTCTGCTTACGCCCCCTTCCCTAACTGCAGACCAATCGTGGAGGTTGATGGCGTGGCGCTGGTCCTACGGCAAGGAGAGGCGCCTGTGTGTGCTCAACTTCAGCGACTACGAGGGAACGGGCCGCGTGATTGTGAGCGACGCCGAAGGCGAGGGCGATATTCCCATTGTTGAGCTGCTCTCTGGTACGCGCGCCTCCTCCACGCTCTTCGTCTTTTGGTGTGTCACCAACGACTCTGTGGTGTGGATTTCACAGGCGAGAAGTACGAGCGACCAGCCAAGGAGATGCGCCAGGATGGCCTCTTTGTCATCGTGCCCCCGTGGTATGGTCAGATCTTCTCGTACTGAAGCAGCACCAGCACCGGCGCGGCCAACGAGGCACAGACAGTGAGACAAAGTGAGGGAGAGGAAATAGTATCACCTACGCAGAACTGAGTAAAGAAATATCAAAACCCAACACATAGCCAGCTTGGAAGCGAGCAGCCCAGAGATGATTGAGGTGAAAGGTAAATTTCATTTGTGCAGAGTAAGAGTGGGGTGGGAGGATTTACTCGTCCGATTCCTCCTCCTCAGCCGCGGCGGCCTTCTTGGCCTGGATCTTCGGGAGCTGCGTCCTCTTGAAATCATTCCACGTCCTCTGCAAAGTGTTCAAGAGAGCAATTAGTTGCTGCGTAAAGGAAGATGCTTGGGGGGGGGCATGTACTCCTTTGTTGACAGAGTTCCACCAAAAATCGACAGTCCTGCTTACGCCAGACTCGACGACAACAGCGCCGACGAGGATGAGGGCGAAGTAGCTCGAGTTGCGCTTGAACAGGTTCTGGTAGACCCAGTTGCTGGCGCCGGAGGATTTAAGAGCGTTCATCCTGTTTGTGAGGAGGATGCGAATGGATTACGTAATCGTCAAACAAAATGTGGGACGATGAAACAGACGGACAATTAATCTGAGAAAGCAAATGCGGGCAATCCCCTAGCACGGCACTGCTGAAGGCACGTGCACGGTGAAAAAGAGGCGAAGCGGGGCGTACTTGGAGGATCGTGAGGTTCAATTCTAATCACCAACAATGGGGCGGAGACCTGCTGGGTATGCCAAGCACGCCACGATTTTGCTGTCGACGAGCTTGTCGTGCCGGGATATTGACCGCCAACGCCCCCCAACCACCCACACCGACCGGAGAAGAGGACGGCTGCGGTAACGGGTGTTCTTGCTTTCCATTCAAATTACATTGATCCATTTCCTCCTCTGCCCCCCAGTGGACCCACTGAGCGTGACGCAGAAACCAACACACAAATAGAAAAAGGGATTGATTCTGCACTATGAGTACGCAGCTACCTCTTCTTCTTTACCCCCGCCCGCTCGCATTTTCCCTTTTCATCGAGCTCCCCTGGTTACCCATCTCGCGATTCGATTGGGTTATTCAATTGTTTAGGCCCATCTTGCAGACAATTTACTTCGCGGACTCTGACTCTTCTTCTCCATTCTTCTATTCCTTTGGCCTCTGCTTTCAATCGACAGATAAGGAGGAAGATCTCGTGCCTATCCAGGTGTTGATTGATGAGCTTAGAAATGAGGACATCCAGCTGCGGCTGAACTCCATCCACCGTCTTGACACAATTGCTGGAGCACTTGGCCCTGAGAAGACGAGGAATGAGCTTCTGCGTCATCTCACTGACGGTACGTCAACAGGCTTGTTTATTTATACCATCCATCGTCGACGTACAACTACCTTCTGGGCGCTCGACATCGCAATTTAATTTCTGGCCATTCACATGGCGATCCCCGTTTTTTGCACTACAGAGGCCGTTGATGACGAAGATGAAGTTCTGCTGGCGCTGGCCGAGCAGCTGGGCAAGTTTGTCGACCACATCGGAGGGCCTGAAGAATCTAAGTGCCTCCTCGAGCCCCTCGAAAAGCTCGCGACCGTCGAAGAGACAGTCGTTCGAGACAAGGTGCGCTTACTGTGACACTTCCTTTGTTCTCTTGCTCTCGCCAGTCTGGTGTTCTCAGGTTCATTCACACCTATGTCCTGTACACCAACAACAGTCGGTGGAGTCTCTCTGCAAAGTGGCCGATGTGCTGCCCGAGGCCGACTTCGTGGACCACTTCGTGCCCCTCATCAAGCGGTTGGCCACCGGGGACTGGTTCACAGCCCGTACCTCTGGCTGCGGCCTCTTCGCCAAGGCGTACTCCAGGCTAACAGGTAAGCTGAGAATGGCCAGCCAGCCTAGAATGAAGCTCTCACTCAGCCACAATTCCTGCTTCGCTGGTATTGCGTGATGGATAGATGAGCGAGTGAAGACGGAACTGCGAGAGCTCTTTGCCAAGCTCACTGAAGATGAGACTCCTATGGTCCGACGCTCCGCGGCTTCGGCCATGAAGGTACGCTTGTCGACCTGCTGAACTTTCCCTGCTGCCCCCATCCCATCCCCCCCCGGCCAGAACCTCACAATCATGTGTCGCATACGCGCACCAGAACTTCATCCCCACCATTGTGAAGGATCAGGTCAAGAAGGAGATTGTACCCATATTCCAAAAGCTGGCCAAGGACGACCAAGACTCAGTCCGTCTTTTGGTCATCGAGAGCTGCGTGGCTCTGGCCAAGATGTTCGACCAGGAGGAGAAGACCAGCCTCGTCCTCCCAGTCGTCCGTGCCACCTCGGTTGATAAGTCTTGGAGGGTGCGATACATGATGGCGGAGCATTTTGTTGAGGTACGTGCACCCCAAGGGCACTTCCATTCAACACCACAATCCCCGACACTCGCGTAGATGAATGTTGACACGGTTGCTTGTTCCTTAAACCCACAGCTGTGCGACGCGATGGGTCCTGAGATCACCCAAGCGGAGCTGATTCCCGCCTTCGTCAGACTGCTGAGGGACACCGAAGCCGAGGTCCGCACTGCCGCTGCCTTCAAGGTGACGGGCGTGGCCAAGAAGCTTCCGGCAGACGTTTCGATAAAGCACCTTCTCCCCTGCGTCAAGGAACTCGTCACCGACAGCTCGCAACACGCCAGAGGTACGCTCCACAAACCCACCGCCACCTGAAAGGACCACCACTCATACGTCTTTCTTATTTTGCCCATGTAGCCGCTCTCGCTTCTGTCATCATGGGTTTGGCACCCGTTTTTGGCAGAGAACACACCATCGAGCACCTCCTCGATCTCTTCCTGCAGCTCCTCAGGGATGATTTCCCTGAAGTGCGACTCAACATCATCTCCAAGCTCGATGAAGTCAACAAGGTGCGCTTTCTTATCACACCCGCTTTTTAGATCGCAAACAGCGGCCTCACCACGTTCGTTGCAGGTCATCGGCGTGGAGATGCTCTCGCAGTCCTTGCTCCCCGCCATCGTCGAGCTGGCCGAGGACAGGCAGTGGAGAGTTCGCCTTGCGATCATCGAATACATTCCTCTTCTCGCTGATCAGCTGGTACGCTCCTTGAGGCGCGTCCTTTGTCAGGGCCAGCGCCGTAACTGACACCGGTTTCGGGTGGCTTTGGACAGGGCGTGGCGTTCTTCGACGAAAAGCTGGGCTTCCTCTGCATGACGTGGCTGGGCGACTGCGTGTTTTCCATCAGGGAGGCCGCCACCAACAACCTCAAAAAGCTGACCGAGGTGTTCGGCGTTGAGTGGGCGCAGAACAACATCATTCCCAAAGTTTTGGCACTCTACACCCACCCCAACTACCTGTACCGCATGACCACCCTCTTCGCCATCTCGGTACGCTTCCCCCAATCCAAGAGTTCTTGGCCTCAGTTCACTGACTCACCGCCCCACTCACTACCTTAGGTCCTCGCGGAAGTGAAGGGCATGAAGGAAGTCATCCAGAACAGCATGCTGCCGCTGGTGATCAGGATGGCGGATGACCCCGTCCCCAACATCAGGTTCAACGTTGCCAAGACTCTCTACACCCTCATCAAATACCTCGATGCCACCGTAAGCCTTTCCTCTCCATGCCTCTCTCCCGTGTACAACAACCACCCACTCACCCGCACGTCGATCGTCGTCTCCCTCAACGCGTGCAGGTTGTGCAGAACAAAGTGAGGCCCTGCCTCCAGAACCTCGAGAAGGACAAGGATCGCGACGTGCAGTTCTACGCTGGACGGGCTCTGCGCGCCATCTAAAAAAGAAGAAGAAGAAGGCCCAAAACGATTGTCTCCAGAGTGTGTGTTGGTGGCGAAGGTTGATGGTAGAGCAAGAAGTCTTTGTACGCTTGGCGAGGCATCCTCACACTAAAACTATGTTTTTTATTTTACACCTCTTCTCCATCACCCCCGCCCACGTGACCGAAGAATGAGAAAGAAAAGAGAGCAAAAATAGTAACTAAACAACACCGTGCAAGATGAGACGCGTTGCATCTGTTTGCCCAAGCCGCGCTTCGATCGCCCGCGGTCGCACATCAGTTCTGCGTGGGTCCTTGGTGCCTGCGCGC